ACTTCGCCTTTGCGGTTAATCAAACGAACAATAGCTCTGACTAAACTGAAGGCATAGATTTAACTAATAAAGCACATACGCGCAAATATTATATATAGGTATATGTAGATATATAGATTTACTGCGCTTGTAACAACATGTCTGATGCCCAGCAATTAAAAAAGGCATTCACTTTTGACCCAAAAACAAATTAAACGTCTATTAAGACAGCCGACCAAGTCAAAGTGGAGCAATGCATATGGCAAGAAACCAATTTTTTTGAATAGTTTATTGATATGTGCCTAATAGTTGCAGTGATTTGAAAATAATATATGTCGAAAAAAAAAGATATTTTGTGCAGTGCTGCGGAACCGGTCTGCAAATTCAATTGCGAATGCCTGGCCAAGTGACCACCAAACGGTGAATGGAGCAGTTGAATGCTCTACATATCGATTTACTTATATCGGTGGGGCCGCACGTTTATGCTATTTCTTTTGCAAACGCTTATGCAACCACTATGAGAATATGGTATGTGAATTTCTCTACGCTAAGCATTAGTTGAAAGCGAAAGTGCAGCGTTAAGAGTTATTGTAATTGGAATAATCGGACAAAACAGTTAGCGCAAAAGAATCGCGATCGATTGGGAAAATAAGCAATTAGTGGAAATGTTAAATTTCAAAAAAAAAAAAGACGTTAACGGTAAATGAGCTGTTTTTAACATTTTTTTCAAAGCTTCCGTACCACTTTTGTTTAATTTTTTCTGTTTAACGGAGATTTTGTATTTAGACAATATAATTGCAGAGCTTTATAGCTTTTACAGAATCATCTTGCTTCTAATAAAAAGCTGTTTTCAGTCAAAAATATTTGAAAATTCGATTACAGCGATCTTCTAACTATACCATATATTTATAGTATGGTCTAGATTTGGCTTTTGCGTCAAAATATTTCCCTTTTCATGGCTTTAAAAAACTAAATTAAAACTTTTTAAGGGGGTATTCTGGTTTAGAAGCCCGAATTTTTGACTCTTTTTCGGATCCAATAAAAAAAAACAATAAATATTTTCACCATAGATTTTTTTTATCTGTTTTTTTATTGTTATTTAAAGAGTAAAAATAAATTATAATATTAAAAAAAAAAATTTCAAAAAATTCCAGGTAGTCCTGGTGTGCAGGATATCAGGACTACCAGTAATCCGAAATGGAAATTGTTGAGGGATCCTTAAAGAGGAAGGATGTACTTATAGCATTACAGATTTTTTTTCTCAATAAGGTGGCTGTTTAAAAAATATCTTTCGTTATTTCCGTTTTTTTGCCGTTCGGAATTTTTTAAAAATATAAAAAAAAATTATTTCCAAAAATCCTCTCGTAGTGCGATAGTTTAATGTATAAAGAAGCTTTGTATAAAATAAATTAAGTAAATCGATCGAGTAGAACTTGAGATATCATGCACACCGCTTCTAAATAAGTAGTTAAGAGAAAAACGACTTTAAACCTCACGCCGAGCTGCCAGTCCAGTTTGTCGGCGTATAACAAAATGAGCTGTAACTCCGAAAATAATTGAAAATTCAAAAAATATTTTTAGGGCCATATTCTTAAAGGGTTTTACCATAAAAAGTTGCAAAAAAAATTGATTTTTTAAATTTCTAAACCAGATTACCCCCTTAATGAAACAAAACCGAAATAAAAACATGAAAAAGTGTCAACTTCGGCTCCAACAAAGCTATAATATCCTTCGCAGGTGCATTACCTATAGCAATTTTATGTATTATCTAAATCTGAAAAAGAAACCCGCCAACAGTTTGCATCCATTAGTTTGATATAAGCAACCTTCAAGTCGACTTAACTAATTAAGGAATAAAATAACTTTTATGAAAATCTTTATCTTGAGTTTAATCGCATAATAACACTGACAAACAAAATTAAACTTTGTTTGCTTTATGAAGTTGATAAACTATTTCTTAGTAATTTGACGTCGCTGATTTCAAATCTACCCCTGTTTCATGTGCTTAAGGGATAGTCGAGCTAAGACAGAACACTAAACTAAAAAAGGGTGGTTTTTGAGAGTGAATTTAGTACCGGGTAGTATGAATGTGATGAATGCCCCTCTGATAGCCAGATAACCCATTATATTAAAGTTTGGTGTGATAAAATAGTTTGTAAAAATACGGCCATGAAAATAACCTTTATACAGATAAAAAAACTTCATTAATGTATTATAGTCTCTTTTTATAACGGCCTGTACTTGTAACAGAACTTATAGCAGGACTAAGTATATTAAAGGACTGCGATTATGCCGCATTTATTACAGCAACAATGAACATGATCTTCGAAAAACGAAAGTTGTGTAATTGAATAAAATCAAAAGAAAAAATCATAAAATTGTGTAATTGAAAAGTTTTATATATATCACTGAAAAATTCCTTATAATATTTTTAAAATTTCTTCCTTAAATTTCCAAATCACAAAAAAAAAAAAGAAAACAAAAAAAAATAATTATCTAATTTATGAGCAGCTGAGTAATTATTTTTACAACTATACCAAAGAAAAAATTAATTGTATTTAAAATATTTGTAGACCTATGGCCACCTCTACCATCCACCAACTGAAGAACGTCGCAGAGAAGAAAAGCAAGATCTTTCAAAAATACCCGGTGTACCAGGTGTCGACTATCCGATTTATCACGAAGTGCCGCACACGAACTTCCATTGTGCCAATGTGCCCGCCGTGCCGGGAATGTATGCAAATGTTGAGACTGGCTGTCAGGCCTACCACGTTTGTCACGACGGACGCGAGGGACATCAAGGCGCACAATTTCTCTGCACTAACGGTACAATTTTCAATCAAAAAGAGTTCGCTTGCGATTGGTGGTACAATGTTAAATGCGAGGAGGCGACCAATTACTATCAGTAAGTGTGGTCTTAATGATTCTACATTTGTTTATTATTTATATATTAAGTGGGCTATAAAATATTTTTCATATTTTCATTGGTAATATTATAACTTACGTTTAAAATATTTATATTGTTTTTATCAAATTTTTTAATTAAATTTCAGCTTGAATTCGGATCCCGAACACAATCCTTACTTCCAAAAGAAAAAGGAACCGGAAGTGGAGCAAAATGATCACGAGGGCTTCTATATTCACGCATAATTTTTACAAAAAAAAAAAAAAATCATCTCATCAAATTTCATAAAATTACTATATTTAGATACTTTGGTTTCCATGCTTTCAACTATTTTTATAAAAAATATAATTTTTATTCGACAATTGATTTTGTGTTTTTAATTATTTACTATAGTAGCAGTATGTGTATAGTAATGTGAATAAGGTCTATTTTAAAAGGATTGCCAAGTTGTTGACCTTCGTAGAAATCTAAAAACTGTGTCTGGTCAGAAAGAAAGTTGCAAATTTTTTAATTAAACATTTTTGGATAATTCTTTTCGAAAATCGAATTTTTTATCCAAAATTAGTGATGAAAAATTGAAAACCTAGTTGAAAAATTTAAAATGTAATTGAACATGTATTTCTTAATAGCAAAATCATAATTACAATTTTTTAAAAATATATATGTATGATATATACAATAGTATATCAAACGATTTGAATGTATCAGTTTTCCGATCACTGCTGTAAAGTGTTAAATTCTATAGCTCTGTGTAAGCTCTACTTAAAATGGTATAAAATGAGATAAGCAAACGCAAAAAAATGTAAATTCAAAAAAAAAAATTTTTTTATTTTAATTTATAAACTTGGGATTACCGTTTTTTATTTCTAAAACTGGTATTTGAAATTATTATTTTTTTCTTAATAGTATTAGTGATTGAATAATTAAAAATAAAATTTCATTTGGGTATTTGGTATGAGAAATTTTAAAACAATTTTTAATTAAGTTTTTCGGTGTTAAAGTAAATATTAATAATAATTTAAATATTCATTCAATTACATTTTTGTTGTATTCTTTGCAGTCCTAGTAAAAACTAATATAAACATGTTTAAGATTATCATTTAAGCACTGTCTACACATATCCGTACAATTCCAATTAAAGTAAAAATATAAAAAAACCTAACCATAATAATTCTCGCTTTATCCAATGTGCTCTAAATATTTTTGCTAAAAAAGTGTCACAATTTCAGCATCTGCATGTAATTTCAGAACACTTCGTAAAGTTTTCCTGACATTTGGCTATCATTTGCAGATACGCACATAAAAATAGCATATACATACATACACATTTGCATGCAAACGAGCACCTTGCGCAGACGATGTGCGCTTGCGAATTCTGATTGGAATTTTGTAATTAACTTAAAAAGCACTCACCTGAAACAATGCACACTTTCTTCTCTTAATATCGAAATTTCATTTAGCACAATTTATTATAAACGATTTACTATATTTTTCACCAAAACACACTATTTTGCACTTCGCACAACACTTTTAACACAAGCTCTCTGCCCAACAATTTTGCTGAGCCTTTTACACACACACATATTAACGGCGGCACACATTTTCGATTTATTTTTAATAGAACTTACTGCAGACTATCGACACTTATGAAAAAATACCGCACTAATCGACATTTTTAAAATAATTTAACAATTTTCAACAAATGACTGCATATGCAGCCAGAATTTCCTCACTCGCGCCAACGGAAACTGACAGTAGCATTTGGACGCCAACTGAAGTTAGTTGTGTGCAGAACTGCATTCGCTTTTAAAAAATTTAAGACGAAAAGTTGAATATTTTTTAAATTTAGAATTAATGTTTGAGTTAACTACATGCATTTTATAAAAAAGTACTACTTTGTGGTATTAATATTCATGAAAAATTTGCAATTTTCGTTGAGTAATGCACTCGGCAAGAAATATCACCTTTAGAAAGTCAATCAGGTGCATACTGAGCTGATACATTATGCGAGTACATCTCTGCCATTTTGATCTTATCCGCTTTTCACGATGTAGGCAACACTCTGTTATGTCAAACTTCCGCCGCCATTTGAACAGATCCGATTAAGCAGCGGCGCCGCGAGTGGAAAATTTAATACAAAACTGATTTTATAATAAAAAATGTTTGGAATAAATGCCAAATTGCAATGATTTTGAAATTATATAATGTTTTATCGTTTATATACGAATTGTTAAATATTACAAGAAAGAGGTTTACGTAAATATATGTATGTATGGGAGTCAATTCAACAAGCAGCAACTGCGCTGGAAAGAAGTGAAGCAATTGTATTGTAAGTAAGTGGCTAATTTGAAATTTGGTGGCTCTACAAAGTGTTGCCGAATTCTTATAAATTAAAAAAAGTTTATTTAACCAAAAAAATTTTATATATGAAGAAATTGATATATGTATTAAAGCAATAATTATTTGTGTAAAATGTGTTTTTGTAAAACCCAGGCTGCAACTGCGCCACCTGTCAGCTTGTAGCAAAGATTTAGAAATTCATATAAATTTCTTAGCGGCGCATAGTTTTCAAAGCGGTGTATGCAGCATAAAAAATAATGCAAAATTAAAGTGGCAATATTTCGTATTAACAGCTGTGTAAATATTGTAAATAAAGCGCAGTGATAAGAGCTTAGTAAATTATTTTGAAATTAAACACGTAGCGCTACTCGAAAATGGATTTAAAAACAAACGCAAACAGCTATCTTAATGAATTAAAACAGAAATGGTTACAGCGACAAAACACCGACAATGTATTTGCATACAACTTAAATGTCACAAAAACTAAATATCTGCCGGGGAATAAAATAATCTACATGGAAGTATGCCTCAACCTTTAGGATCCTGTATTCAAATAGTAATTCTCGTTTACAGTTTAATCCACAGCGTACACGTTTACGACGAATACCACAGACTATTGGCAGTTTAAAACCTGTATTTGATGAAGAGACTTTCAATTTCAAAAAGATTAAACCTTTGGAGTTATTAATGAGCATACCGTACGAGGGCACAGATATTTCAATGCTAATCAATAAGAGCCCGCTAACGTTTTTTCATACATTAATATGTCCAGATGTGGCTGCCGGACAACCACAACGTTTGACGCTTCCAGCTTTGAAATTTTGCGTCCAATTTTTACTAAATATTAGGGACGAAGAAAACGCATTTCGTATTGGTTACAATAGTCCTGGTGCGTTGGCATCGGTGAATCACTTGCATTTACATTTACTCTATGTTACTGCATATTTATATAGTGATAAAGCGGTAAGTATTCATTTTCAATTTTAATTTTATCATGAAAGTTACAAAATAATTTTACAGGAATTGGAATTGTTGCAAAGCACAAATATTTACCGTTTAAGTGATAAAATGCCAACAGAGGCGATATGTTTTATATTTACCAAAACTACTGACGCCGAGGCTTTAAGTGCACAAATACTGAAACTATTTAACTTTATTATTTGGCTGTGTGAACACGACATTCCGCATAACTTATTTTTAACTCCAAATCGAAACGAAAGTTTAGGGAATGTTTTGAAAGTGTTTGTATTTTGCCGAAAATCATTTTGTTACGTTAAGGACTTAAATACCTATAATATTGGATTTTGTGAAGTGTCTGGTTATGTGACTGTTGGAGGTATGAGTTGAAAGCTTTACGTTTTGAAATATTAAAAATTGTGTTTTTATAGATGAACAGCTGTACGAAAGACTAACAGAGCAAGAAGTGCTGGCTAAAATACAACAGGAAACTGGCGATGTGTTTAAGGAGATTTACGAATATTTCAAAGTGTAAGAAATCAAAGCAAAAACATTATTTTGGTAAGTACAAAAGAATGTGTAAAGTATATTTTTTATTTGTATATAAAAGTGTATACTTACGCAGGAAAACGTTAAGTACACTAAAAAGGATACTACCTCTCATCGGCGCTAAATTTAAAATACTAAAATTTTTTTTCATTTGTGTTAGAAATTAAATATAGCTGGAATTTATGTTAAATAAATTTAGTAAAATTTATTTTTTTTTTATTGATCACCTGTAGCTACTGTAAAACTTTTGCCCTGGTCATTTCGACTAATTACTTTAGTATTCAGCTTAATACTATAATCGGTTGCCGCATCGTGTCCTTGATATTTAACTAATTTAATCAAATCAGGTATATTATCCTCAGCTATGCAATTACAAATGGCATTGAAAAATTGCATCATATGATGCAAATTATGTCTGAAAATAAATGAAATTTCGTTTTTTATTTGCACATAACATTAATATATTTAAAACGTACATCATAATTAAAATTGGGCCAACCATCTCTTTCGTGTTATAAAGATGATATAAGTAAGCGCGCGTATGTTTCTTGCATGTTAGACAATCGCAATTTGTCAGCAGCGGTGTAAAGTCCTCCTTCAAGCTGTAATATTAAAAAAAGTTTAATAACTTAACTCTTTAATTTACAACCTTTAACTACACACCTATCAACAGTTATGTCCAAAAATGGTGCAAAATTCGTACTTTCAGTTTTTGTTAAATCAAAATTGAACGTTAGTGCTTTAAAATTGGAAGCAGCACAGAATGCGTATGATGTGTCGAATATATCCACACCTAAGGAAATTAATTCCAACATTACGGGCGGTGTGTACGCGCCTGGCAACATTTTTGGTTTTTCAACGTTTAGTTCATTCAAACAATGCGTCATCACTTTTAGCAGCTGGTCGGCATCTACATCTGTGGCAGTGAGTCCATTATTGTGAAAACCCTCAAAAATATAACCACCCGTAATACTTTCACCTTTCGCTCTCGCATGTTTGATAGACTCGGAACGCGCAAACGTGCTGTAGCCTCCAACGATGGGCACTGAAATTTAATCAGAAACTTATTTTACTAACTCACAAAAAATAAGAACCGGGATGTTACCGAATAAAGCGCTTTTATTTAATACTGTGGAGTTTTTATGTCGCTCATAGCAAATATCCATAAATTGTGTCGTTCGATCAACACACTTCGTTATGCGCTTTTTAGCGCTATCTAAATTGGTATCAGCATCACAAAGGCCTTGATATATATTTGGTTTTAGAACTTCTACTGCGTCCATATAACTATGAGAAAATGAGAATGTATGCCATTAATGAAAGATGACGTCAGTTCATTAAGTTACCTTGTCGCTGTTAGCATTTCCTTTCCCCTTCTCGTAAAAAGCGGCATTGTATCTTTGTCGTTATGTCCGCTCGGTGTTGCCGTACAAGTGTCGCGTATCACCAATAAGGACAAGCATTCTGGATAGCCCATATATGCGCCGAGTGTGTCTTTAAACAATTTGAGTGATTCCGTCATATGATTGATGGTAGATAATGAAAATTGCAAGGTTGGCGTGTCTTTGGTAATATAATCAAATACCTCCCGACTGAGGTATGGAATGCTTCCAGCCTACATTAAAATAATGTGTAATGTGTCAGACATCAAATCAGTATAAATCTTCACTAAGCACTCACTTTAGTTGTTTGTACTAACAATGGTGTGCGAAAACGCTTTCCTGTTTCCGCTTGTACAAAATGCCCCAGGCGTCCGGAAGACTTGCTTACATTTTCTATAACAAATTTCATTTTGAAAACGAAAATATTTGGTAATTATTTAAAACTGTTGTAACGAAATGTTTGTTTGGCCGGACACGCTATTTTTTGACATTTTCTTTTTGTCGTTTTTTTGTTTTAATTTATCAGCTGTTCGTAATGATGCCAGATGCATAGATAAATTCTGTAATTAGAAGTGATATCCATTTTGGAAATTGTTTTAAAAATATATGAAGTACTAATTCAACTTTATTTAATTCTGAAGATAGTCTGTATAAATTCAAAGCTTTTGGGCTTAAAAGTTTTGATTTTTATAATTAAGATTTGATAAATTAACTTATGAATTTTATGTATCCGATTGATATAAGGCTAGGTTAGGTAAACGAGCTAATATTCGTGAGGACACGATTCGTTTGATGTCAAAAATATTTCTACAAACCGATCTGCTTTGTTATTGGTAAATTTAAAATACTCCGTTTAATGAAACCATAGTCCGATGAACTTAAATACAGCACTAACACTGCGTTCATATCTAGGACTATCAACCCTTCAGCATTCTCTAATAGTATTTTGGCTGTTATAACAACAAGTTAAAAGCATCTGAAACAATTTGAGGCACCTCTTAACAATTACTGAATTTTCACTTTCTGCTTTTGAATTCATAATCAAAATTTTAAATTGATCAGGCAAACAGTTACAAAACAAGAAAAAAGCGGTGGGTTGCATCAAATCTATAATACACTTCACTAACACAAAGGCTCCTTACCAGAACTTGATTTCAATTGTTCCATTTGTATGGCAGCTATGTGTTATAGTGGTCCGATATCGGCCGTTCCGACAAATGACCAGCTTCTTAGTGAGAAAAGGAAAGGTGCAAGATTTCAGATCGATACCTTAAAAACTATAGGGTCTCCGACATTTCCTTCTGGGAGTTACAAACTTCGTGGCAAACTTAATATACCCTGTTCATGGTATAAATGTAAGCGTATTTGTAAACATTTTTTAACTTATTGTAATCGCCTCCAAAACTTTAAACCCGTTTTCTCGAAACACTGAAAATATCTCCAAAACGGCTACACCAATCGACTTAAAATTTTCACACGACTTTCTTAGATATATTTGTGAGTTAATGATCGAAGGAATATGATTTCGATAATAATTTTGAATTTTCAAGCCAACTCTTAATTAAATTAATGAACATTTGTCACAAAAAACAATTTTTTTTGCGAAGCCGCCATTTTGTCAAAAATCAAAATTTTAACTAGTACTTCAATCATCCAAACAGTATTCATCTATTGAAATAATAAATTGTTTTGGTTTTTATTTTGGACATAATTTTGAGCAGAAATATCTTCTTCACCTCCAGACATCTTTTTTGATAGGCTAGGGGATCAGGGGCATCCAAAATTTTTCAAAATGAATTGCCAAATATTAAAGTAGATTAAATTCTGTAAATGTACATTATTTATATTTATTTAGTAAATAAAATGCCTTTTAAGAAAAATTCACAAAAAACGAGCTTTTTCTGACCTACAAGTAAATATAACCCCCTCGTATAGAACAAAATATAAATCATTTAAAAAATCACATTTGGAAAGGTATTTGTTCTTTAGTAGAAAGTGGCGGCCAATATTTCTAAACATTTTCTCTTAACAGTTAATTAAAAACTCTGCTCTAAACCGATTCTCTTTACAAGGCTCTCATATCGAATACAAAGCACGTAAAAATCCCAAAATAGTCACTTAAACTGACTTTAGTAATATTTCCTGCCTAAACTGTAAAATCAAAAATATATTTTCCCATATCACTCACATACTTAACATGATTTTTTGTGGGTGATAATGACAATACCTAACTCGACCCACCTGAGTAGTGCAAAGCTTACTCTTGTTGTGAATAATAACCAAGAGACCCACATCGTATAAACAAATTATCGGAGAGCTGTAAATTTATATGTGTGCATATGTATATACATGTATGTATGCTAAACTTTATTCTGCCATTCGTTGCTGTGCCGCCGGCGCCGGCTGCTTCGCTGCTTCGGCACTCATTTTGCTCATGCATTGAATTGACTTTTGGATGAATCCATTTCAGTTGCGGTAGGAGCTCTGCGCTAGCGATTTGTCGATGACGGTGGACGACAGCAGCAACAAAACGGCAATAGCGTGTGTGAATTAAATTTGATTTTAAACAAATTGTCTTTATTTTTATTCGTTCGCTATTATCTGCCATCACTTTCGCTCATGTGCGGGCCATATGCGAGCGCATGAAATAGTGAGAGCTTTTCCCCAATTGTGTACAATTTTCGAATATTTCCTAATTAAGTTTATAATTAAAATTAATTGAAAAATTACATATGCCTAAATGCTTTTCTAAGTGAAGAATAAATAATAATGAATGAATGAGCACTTTAATGGCCACAGTGCGCATAGTGAATATCTTTACGAGTAAGAATTCGGTGCATATGTGTGTACCTTGTGTTTGAATAACGAATAAACATAATTGAGCAGTTCAAAATACAAAAAAAAAATACAAAAATTATCTAAGCGCAGCGGAAAAGGTAAAGTTTGAATGTGTTAAAACCGCAATTTGCAGCTCAATATGGCAAGGGTTGACGGTAAATATTTGATTGGGCGTTGTGTGGAAAATGCGGTGGAATTATTTACTTTCTGCTATTAACAGTCATAGATACTTACATATGTATGTATGTATGTATACAAATAGGTAGAAACCTGCTAATGCATGTTTGGATTATATATTAGGGCGTTTTTTTTAACCAAATTCGGAAGACCATAGGTTTCTACCAAAGTTTTGGTTAATTTTAGGTTAAGCTTATTTTTTAGGTTATGTTGTTTTAAGATAACTGTGAAATGGTTTCCAAATTTCCAAAGGATCTTTTAACCTTATTTTGATCGATCAATTTATATTGTCGCTATATGGTATAGAGGTCCGATCTAAAATTTTTTTCGGAGATTATAGCGCTGCCTTGGATAATATTTTATGCCAAAATTTCATGCAGATATTCTGTGAAATAAAAAAGTTTGTCATACAAGAACTTGACTTGGATCGGTCAGTTTGTATGACAGCTATATGCTATAGTGATCCGATCTGAACAATTTGTTCGGAGATTGTACCGTTTTCTGTAGTGGACTGATATCGGCGGTTCTGACAAATAAGCAGCTTCTTGGGCAGAAAAGAAAGCCATGTGCAAAATATTAAATCGATATCGGCTGACGATCACACTGATCATTTATATATATGTATATACTTTAAGGGCTTTCCGACGTTTGCTTCTAGGTGTTATAAGCTTTGTTGCAAACTCAGAATATCATGTTCAGGGTTTAATGACAAATTATTTATTGTATCATTTTTTCGACAAGCGAGTTATGAATTTTATATTGAGTTCACCCATTTTTGAATATATTCTATGTGAAAAAAGTTATGAACTGGGCATTGTAACCCTCACATTTAGCCACTGGATTAGGTTTTAATTACAGCGACTCCATTGGCTAGCTTACTTACTTACTTTGATTAAAATACTCTATGTATATCCCAAAAATATTTGGATATTAGAAAGATTAGATTACATTAGAATATTTCCAAGGACGTCGTGAAGTTTTGCACCGTGGTCTTCTGTATACTGAGTTCGTTTCGAAGCCATTCTAAGTTTGTGTACAATGTGTGAGCCGATTCTTAGTGAAATTTAGACTATAGAAGCTTAAGTAGACTCAGAAAAGAGCAGGTGGTCTTTCAAGAATTCAAGTGCCTGTATTTTAGCCTACGGAAAGTTTTGTACCGATCTCATTCCGTTCCACATCTGACTGAAATATCGACCTTATCTCTCTGATCTATCTTTAGCAGATCAAGGATATCATCATAACCCAGTGAGTTTTAAATATTTTTAGAACACATAAATTAGTATAAAATTATAAAAAATGTTTTAAAACCCACAGTTTACCCTTGACAAGCTATATCCAATCTTCAATCATTTTTTTATACAAACACGATTATCATTCATCAGACTTTCGGAAGGCTTTAAATTTAGAAGGCTCAATAGACGGATTACAACAAAACTTTTAACTCGAGTATATACAAGTAGAGAGATTCTGTAATATATAGGTATATACAAACTGGAAGGACAACTTTTGTTCGAACTTTAACGCCTAGCTAATCATCGTAAAAAGTTCTTTACAAAATCTGAAATGCTAGAATAAAAATTTCTAGAAAGAGTCTTTCAAAAATCGGTATGGTAAACTAGTTTAAAAAATATTATTTGATTTTAGCTATTTTTGTTAATACACAAAATATACAAAGTTTCAAACACATTCTTATGTACATATGTACAAGTAGATATATCTAGCATTGATAAGACTTTCAGTCAGCCGACACTGTTGCTATCATTTACAGCCTTATAATATCTTAAAATACATTTATAACTGATAAATGTGTTTAAGGTTGGAATATTGTTAATCTGTCTGGTATTAAAAATAAAAACTGAAATATACGAAGACAACACGTTAATTACTTAGCCAAAAAAGACTGCTTCTCCACATAGTGGTCTTTTTGCTTCAACTTCCCGTTTGAAAAATATGTTTTCTGAAGGCCTGCAAAGTAGGTAGTAAAAAAGGTAGTAAATGCCTCTTGCGATTGTGATGCCAGTGAGGGTAACTACTTATCGAACCGTTCTCGTACGTACTTAAAATACATACATATGCCAACTAATATCTAGGAATATTATAATTCATTGCTTATAAATGTTTGGATTGTCTATTTGCTCAATTGCGCTAGGGCTTTAGTGTCCTTGTAAGGTATTAGCAAACTAAGAGCCACATAGAAAATTATTCAAGAGGGTTTATACAAATCTTCTTATGAGAGATAAAGCTAAACTCAACGATTTTCGGACCCAATTCTTACTTATAGCTTATATAATTGAAGGGATGGCAATGGCTGGTATTTTAAAAATGGAGAAGGCGATCACTTAGACCTTCATCCAGCTTCGAGTGGCTTTGCCGCTAGATAAGTTATTATTGTAACCCTTCAAAAACACTACCATTACCGCTGAAATCGTTACATAGTACGAATATCGTTCAGTTCTCTCATCGACTGGGTATTGCTTAGTGCATCCTCGTTTCATAATTAACATATTGTTCATGACTGATGACAGTTTTGTGAGTATTGCAGAATTAGAGAGCCGTCCATGTTTTTTTTTTGCAAATCGGAACAAAAAACGTTAAGCTTGTAAATGGGTACTGAAAAGAGGGTTCCCCTTAGCGGCCCTCGGATGACTGAGGATCTTTCGGCTGAAATCTTATAATGCCTGAAAAGATCCAGTTTAAGAATATAGTTTATTGTTTGATTTGGTTGTTGGTATTCTTCCCTTCATCAATTGAACGCGAAACAAGAACTTATACACATATAGTCGACGCCCACAATGATACCGTTACCAACATCGACCCGACATGCCCCATTTAAAAAGCTCTGTATTTTAACAATATTAATGTGAAAATTAAATTCCTTCCTTCATCTCTCATTTTAGCACTTGACCGCCACAAGGTGCAAATGGCAACTCTCGTCCTCCTGTTATCTGCTCAGACCAGACAAATCATTCTGCGTTACCGCCTCGGAATTTCATATTTGAAATATTTAAACTACACAACCAACATAACTGCATGTATGTAGAATAGGGTACATGCCGAGATATACCTTACGAAAGACGTAGCAAAACAGTGAATGAGTGCGAACCCCAAAGGAGGGCAGCAGCTTCATCTGTTTTTTTAAATAATATTGACAAAGCGCTCTCGTTATAAGAGAGGTGTCGTCAGAGCCACTGCATTCGTATACGCTGGCAGAGCAGCCCGAAAAGGCAAAAGCCGAACGAGTCAAAACAAAGTGTCTACGAAGAGACAGCAAAAGCAGAGCGCCAAACAGCCTGGCAAGGCAACACACGCCAAAATCACTAAAGACCCCCGCCCCTCCCACAAATCCAATATACAAACTGACATACATACAATAAAAACGCACCGAGCACTACTAACTGGCAAAAGCAAAACTACAGCGCTGTGAGCGTTTCTATGCTGTGTGAGCAAGTTGAGTGGCCAGGTTTGCTGAGCTACTACAGCTCAGTTGGCTGCGAAGCGTTTGAAATTTTAACATTGCACCACTCACTCGAGTCAGTCAGTCAGTATTTATTTGCTCAGTGACGGACGCTTAGAAACGTACGCGGCATTTAAGGGTTAAACAAAAAATTTTTGTTTAAATAAATTTCTATTTGAGCAACACCCCTTTGCGGCCGGCGAGATCCGCGAGCGAGCGTACGACGAGCGGTGGTCTGGCATAGAGGCGAAGTCGTAGTCACTGACGACGTCGTCGTCGTCATAATCAAAGCACGTTTTTCCTTAGCTGGCTGCGATACACATACTAGTACACAGAGACTCATAAATATATGGATATTTCTATATGAATATATAGCTAGCTATGTTTGGTTAGTGAAATAGACAGACGATGCGGCACGCTGTTGTAAAGCGACAACAAAACAACGTGTAAAATCAAAGAATTTGACTGCCTCTACGATTTGGCGTAGTGTGTGACGACGCTTACCTACCCAAATATCAAATTTTTTTTAAGCAACGATAGACGCACAGGAGAACGGCTGAACGGTTGGCCCGTCGGAACGTCTTGCTTCGTTAAGCTAGTGCCTGTTGTTTGTTTCCCTGACTGCCTGCCTGCCTGCCTGCCTTACGCGTAATCACACTACGAAGGAAGTAGAAACCGACTGTGGAAAAAGAGAAGCAGAGCCGGAGGCAGAAGAAAACTCGTCGTCATCGGCGTACTCATCGCCTCGTCGTCGTCGTTGTCGTTGTTATCGTCGGTTGTGTGCGAGCAGCGCGTGAGTGTGTGAAATCAAAATCCTCAAAATTGTCGCTGCCTGCCTACGGTTAACTACTTCCTTCAGCATATCCAGACAGATTCACATTTAGTTCGAGATCTGTGCGGTACGGTGCGTGACGGCAATATTTTGGTTTAAGCGGCAAACACAATACGATTTTATTTCGTTACGAAGTCGACTGAGGTCGATTGAAATCGTTCGTCTCGTTTCGATACGATTTAGGCTGCTGCTGCTGCTCATTCAGTGCGCTGCTGCGGTCAACAAGAACAAATAGCACACAAAAAAAAAAAAGAAAACAGAAAATAAAATTGTCTACAAAAAGTGCAAAATTATTGAAGAAACTTGTGGCCATACTAGTTGTGCGGTATCGCAGGTCGTCACAGCTGCTACACAGGTACAAACGGATATGGGTATGAAAAATGCAAACAGCAACAACACACAACTAATGGCGCAGAAAAGTAGTTGTGGAAGGTAAGCAGCGCATAGAAAGTTGCAACATTGAGTTGTGAACATGCGACACGACTCTAAGCAGCATATACTATATTGCTTCGTAGAAGACGCAGCTGAGGTAGAAGGACTTGAATATAGCGGCAGCTAAACGCTTGACGACAGCGTTACGGGCACTAAATACCAACGTTGTATACGCAACAAGCATTTGAAGAACGCCGAACGCGCAGTGTGGCATAAAGAAATTCGTCTAACTCGCAGACTAGACACAGCTAATAGAGAGACTAGCCGAAAACTAAGTACGCTGCTAACCGTAACGAGTTTATAAAAAGTAAAATACACAAATAACGGCATAGAACGAATGTAATTAAATACGACTGTGGCGCAAAAATGTGGCAAAAGCAATAAAAATACTAGAAAATAAAATAAATAAATAAAAAATAACCGAAAAGTAAAGGAAACCTCAAAGCTGTAAGGCAAGAAACAAGTAAAACGCCAAGCAAACCGAAAGAAAACTAAGAAAATTAAAGTGAAAATCCAACTAAAACACGCTGCGCTGCGGCTTTACTGCCTTGCTGACTGACTGACTGCCTGCTTGACGCTCGCACACGCCTGGGCCGGTCGGACCAGCAGCAACAACAACACAGTCTAGTAGTAGTGGGGAAATAGCGATAGCAAACAGCTAGAGGCACACTTCCAACAATTGCGACAAACCAGCAAGCAAGCGACGCGTCGGCATGCCGAGACGAAGCCGTTTTCGTAAAGCGAAGAAAAGTGGCGAAAGAAAATTCATAATTTTTAATATTTAAAATTAAAGTGGAAGCAAATACACAAACACACGCACGCACGCACACGAATACGGGCACACAGCGAAAAGCGATGAAAATTGAGCGAAAATAGATAGCGGCAGTTGTAGTTGTTGTTTGTATGTATGTACGTAGTTGTGGTGGTGTTAGTGAATAGAAAATATCTGCACAAGAAAGTGCAATTGAATATTGAATAGGCACAGGCAAAAGGCAAAGCGTGTGTGCTCTCAAACTAAACCAAAACGTCAACGCCAACGTCAAGGCGGGGCAAAGGAAGCGCACGCTTACAACAACAACAACAAAACTACAATAAAATCACTCAAACAATTGTTCAAATGTGCTCGCGTGTGTGGTTAATTCAAAAGTAAAATCGAATTAAAGCGACGTATGGGGTATAAGCGCTTACAATTGTGTTAGTGTATATACATATACATACATATGTGTATCTGTGCGTATATAGTATAGGTATTGTGTTGTCGAGCATGTGCTGAGTATATGCACTTGTTTTTTTTTTCATTACAATTTTAATTTTAAGCAATTGTGAAGTGCTGTTGTTACAATATTAGTTAAGAGAAAAAAATATAATAATAAAAATAATATACATATGTAGCATAAGTAAAAACATTGCTGAAAATTACCACAACAAAAAACTGGTCTACGTGCTTTCCATAAACGGGAAGACGAAGAAATTATGTGCCATTTTCTAAACTAATTAGTACAGTCGAAGCGAGACTAAAGCATAAAATACAAAATAAAACACACGAAATCAAATTAAATAATTATATAAAGAATATATAATAATTAATAAATTATAACAAAAACAACAAATTTACATGCTAAGCCTAGTGTATTATGTGCTAATTACAACAAAAATTTAGTAATAATAAATTAAATAGTGAAACACCGAAATTTCCTATAATGCAAAGAAGCTTTAAAAATGCAACAATAACAAAAAAATAAAAATAAAATAAAAACAAGTGGAAATTGACAAGGTCGTAGGTATTCTTAACAGTATTATTAACACGTTAACACACAAACTTCCACCTACCAAACCAAAACAACACGCGTGACCCCCACAACGTCAAAAAGGTAAAATAAAAATAAATAAAAAATACAACAAAAAAAATCCAATACAAAACAATCATAATAAAGCAACAGTGCACTAGCAGCACAATACGGTGCCACACAGCGCGCAAACACGACGCGACAAACCCACACAACAACAACAGTAAATAAAAAACAACAGCTAGCGAAAGGCACATAAAACACAGGCTGGAGCACGGAGTCGACACAGCCATACAAAGTGTGCGCGTGAATTAGAAAAATAAAAGAAATAAACATATACACACACATACAACAACAACACCGACAAAAAACGAAACGAAAATGTCCTGCATATCCAGCAATTTCAGCTCTTTCTTCCTCAATTCCCTCAACGATTCATCAGAATTCGCCAAGTATTTGAGCAATGGCGAGTTAAAGTTTTCGTCCTTCGAGGATTTTCAAGTGTTCGGCTCGGGTGCGGGCACTGGCACGTCACCAGCGCCGCCATCACCAGCAGCGGCTGCCGCTACATCATCAGCATCGTCATTAACAGCGCAGCAGGCAGCATCGCAGCAACAACAACAACAACAGTATTACAATGGTGGCGTTGGTAATAGTGGCAACAACAACAATGCTAACATAAGCGCTGGCGCCAACACGACGGGGTTGCCAAGCAGCATTGAATCGTCGTATAATAATGGTGTAATGAATTCTATTGGTAATTGTGGCACGGAAACAGCCAACACTTCCACATTAACGCCCACGAACGCCTCCAATACGGCACCGGCCGGCGTGCAGCAATTGCAACATGCCGCACATTTGCATGCCGCACATCATACACCACAACATCCCACTCATCTGCCACACCACCCACATCCACATGCGCAACATCCTTACGCCGGTCATGCACCGCACACACCTGGCAGTCTCGCCGCTCCCAGCAATGCCTTTCATTCACACAATCACCTCGCTTCACCGCACCTATCAACAGCTGCGACGACGCCAAATTATCCGACAACGCCACAACGTTGGGCTACAGCTGCAGGTGCGAGTCCAATGGTCAGCGGCGCGTCCGGTACACCGCATCCTATAACACAATTACAGAATAGCAATCAATCGGGCACGCCTATTGTGCCCAATCCGAGTGGTGCACAGCATTTCGATGGTTCCTTTGAATTTCTTAAATACCTGCGTCACTCGAACGATTACAATAACGGCGAGCCGCAAGGTGATGCTGCCGCTGGCAGTGCGTCAGCTGGTCAAACGCAAGCATCAACATCATCATCGTCTAGCTTGATCGATTTGGATAGTAGCACGTCGCATAAATCACGTTCTTCACGCAAAGCCGCCGCTCTATTGTCTTCCGTATCGCGCACTTCGAACAGTCTTGATGCCAATGCGCTGGACGTCTTCGATCATGATTCCAAACACACTATTTTCGATATGCATCAAATTACGGCTACAAATAGTTCCAACTCAAATGAATCCTCCCTGGAGGTATCCAATTTGGCCTTTCCCAGCTCACACCTAAACGCTTCCAACTCGAATACTTCTTCCGAGGGCGCCGCTACTGGCAGTTCGGACTTCGCTATGTTACACTCGGGTTCGGCGGCTAGCGCGCCCAAACCATTAGCTACCTTCACCATTAAAGACAACTTTGATGTGCATCCATCGCATAAGGTGGAGGAGGGCATATTTCAGCATATGAATAAATTGCCGGCGAAGAAGAAGGAAAATTTGAAGCAATTAGGTGTGCGTTTTACCGGTCAAATGACGCTCTCGGATAAATCGGTAGTTGTCGAAAACTTTATCAAATTCTGTCAGGTGAGCATGCTTTCAATATATATATATATTGATTTTTAGATCTTTAAAAAAATTTATGTAGATTTTGACTTGAAATTAAAGTAAGATGTGTATGTCAGATTTAGACGTAAACTATTAAAGGCCACCGTTATGTCTACTGGCTCATTGGTGGAGTTTTGTTGATAGGTTTGGAGTTCTTCCTAACCCTGCTGATTTTTTTTCTAAAACCTACACCACGAGTATAAAGGGGTTGTTGCTTGACTTTTTATTTCCTCTCTAAGAATTATTTGATTCCTTATAGAATGAAATGTGTTCTCCTTTTGGTATTTCTGCGTCCAATTCTTATTTTTCATAGTAGCACGGACTACATTTGTTAATATATTTTTATAAATCGAGGATTCGAATAGAGGAGGATCATGTGTGATTGTATATCATAAAATCTCTAGCAATACCCAATACATAGTAAAAGAGCCAAAATTTATATTTTTGCGGAAATTATAGATTTCTGTGTTGATCCTTTGAATGGAGATCAGGTTTTCAAATGATCTGATGTTTGATCTCATTATCAATAGCATCAATCTACTTCGTTATCACACTTTGTTTGGATGTCTGGTTACCTGTAAAGCCTGTGGGCTTTTTAGAAAGGCATTCTTGCTCCAATTTCATCAGTCTGAGACTGAGTCAGTACTTCGTTGCCCACTTGAGTTTTAGTGTGAGCGCCATGTCGGTAAACTTTGGTTATCAACATTAGTGTTGCGGTGAAATCCTGGCACAGAGTGGAACGTAAAAGATCTTTCAGTTATATACTCTTAGCTATTGTCGCAACTGTAGTTGTTCTAACTGAATCCTGTCGGGCGCGAATTGTTAAAATTGCATGCGAGGAAACTGCAAAGTTGATGAGTTCGCAAGAGGTGGCAACCTTTTCCTACTTACATGAATGGAAACGAGCTGAATCTTCGATGCTCTCCTGCGTTCTAGTACTGAACCGTTGGACCTCTCGTGAACTTAGTAGGTTTTGGTCGATGACCAGCTGCTTCTCATCTAAGGTAGAACGCAGCATATCCACTGAACCACTTGCTTTTAGCATGGTTCATCTTATTGAAAACGTAGCAGTTCTCACTGGATCTTGTGCCATAGGCCTCCATGAGGTAAGACTAAACATCTTTTCGGACGCAAGTTGTCAAAGTTGTATGGTGGAAGGTGAGGTAGAAACATCCAAACACTTCTCCATTGTCCAGCTTTTGCAATATTGAGTTTGAAACGGCTCAGCAGTCATACTTTCAGCGAACTGGGAGATGTAACCGAAACTGTTATTAGGCGCCTCAATAAATTTGCTTTGTCGAATTATGAGGCTCTTTATGATAAATATTTAGAAGTTTTAGATATCACAACAGATGGGAAATTAATCTCGAATAAGTTTTCGTAGAGCTGCTTGTCCCTTTTTTCATTTGACATATTTCCAGTACTATATAACATTTTTTCCAGTACTATATAATAGAGACAGCAATTAGCTACTATTAACGATCATTATTTGATCTGTTAAAGAAATGTATCTATTTTCGAAGGACGAGACTTTCCATCCAGAAGATACCTGAGTATTGCATAAAAATAAATAAAGCGAAACTATTAATACTTAATCGATAGTCTACAACAATAATGTATAATAAATTATATTATGTATGCATGTGTATATGTACGTTTAATATATGGATTCTCGTCCGTTATTAACGTAACGTGTAAAAAGAAGGTTCGGTATGCCGAACGGGTGACGGCACCACCCTGTGGTTATACTCAATTTTTCAATCACAATATTCACCTGTATTTATCGTGGTTACTGTACCTGTGACCAGATGAGTTTCTCTTCGAATTGCATACCGTTATAATATATTATTTGCAAGTATATAGTGGTATTATGTACATATATGTATAAATAATCTTAGTAGTTATATATAGAATATAATTATATACATTTCGATAGTGTTATGTAATCGAGCGGTTATGTAGTAGTTTTCACAATTTCCACTTTAAAATATTTATTATAAATGTATATTGTATAATATGGCTTTCATGTGTATATGATGATGGGTAACCGCTGGGCTTGAGTCACAATGTGTATGAAATTTGCATGCAAGTATTTATGTATATAACGATTTATATATGGTAGTTATGTGGTAAATATGTATTGTATTTACATTTATATATATATATATATAGTTGTGTTAATAGTTAATGTGCACGCTTATACGTATGTATATGTTTGTAGATCCTGTGTAGACACCTGCCAAAATTTACAATCGTCTATATGTACATATGTATTGAAATATGAATTTTTGGATATTGCATATGCATTTACATGCATATGTTCATACTCATATGCATTATTGATATATGGTATACAAATTTACAACGACGACGAACAACCTTCTACCTAACCTCACTGCTATAATAGCAGTCATAATATCGACAGTAACTAATGTAAAATATATGTTTGTATGTATGTATATATGTACATATGTATTTGTATGTGCATGTAAAATAATTGTATGCCACATACGAGTACCTATTTATATACATGTATTTTTAATACATTTATGTATGCTTGTAGAAATGTATTTCTCTTTATGGCTGTTAAAGCTCTACAAATTGTGGGGTGTAGCAGTATTAAAATCTTGTATGTATGTATATATATTTGTATACACATATATATATATTTACACACACATCTCTACATATATAATAAACTTATTTGTAAAAGTTTTGTGGCTGAAATGAGCGAAATCGTTACAAAATTTTAGTCCCCAGGCAATGTTCATGTTCGTATAGACTACAAGCATACACACATAAAAATATACATACAAATAAATATACACACACACACAAAGCATATATAAATACATACACACGTTCCGCATACCGAAGGGCTTCCCAGCGTCCACCCATCAACACCCATAGATTATCAGCATAGCACATTCCTTTAACTACCCGGTGACCATAATACACACACACACACACACACACATAGATACAAATAACACTTGCACAAATTATTAACTAGCTGGTGTGTCGTGTGTGAGAAAGCTCCCGAAAAGCCAGTTGTAGTATGCAGCGCGAAGTGCAAAAAGTCATTTGGCCTCATTGTGCACATGAGTGCCACCCTCAAAATTAAACTAAATATTCATGCGACAGACAGACGAAAGGACGAACAGCACTGCTATAATAACAGCACACACACACAGACATAGCACACTCATACATTTGTAATGTGTAATTCGGCCAGGCCATCTGCCACCCACTTACACACCTAAATAGATGTAGACTTTTTAGTGCTTCTCGTACATCCTTCGTGCCTAATTTTTGAACTATGCCCGAAAATACACAGACACACTTGTTTGCATGTATGTATGTAGGTGCATATGTATTTGTAAGCTACGCAATTTACCCATACATGTTTATAATAAGTTTAAAATTGCGTGCAATCTATATAAATTCGTATATATGTTACTTACACACGCATATACATATATATATATGTGTATTTTGTTGGTATTTGTACTTAGTTGTTTGATATTTGTAGTTTCGAAAGATAATGCTCGTATATCTACAAACATCATTATAAGTATGTATTTTCATCTGTATATTTATAGTTTTATATATAAGTATATATATGTATCTGGCATCAGCTTTGCATTAAATTGTAAGCTTTCAGTTATAATGGTCATGTGCAGCAGAGCGTTTTACTTGTCCCGTTGATGATTCACCTGCAAGAAAGTGTTACTAACTGCAAACTAATGCTTTTTGCGAATCCGAATTCCTTTATAGTTACTATTGGCAAAAAGTATGGCCAAATTTGTACTTCCTCAATAAAGGCTCCTTGGAAAGATCGCTCGGAAAACTTTTGAAATCAATTTATGCCACAAATCTTGAAATGGTAGTTATTCGTTAAACAAAAATCAAAGACAAAGAGATGCTTAACCTATACCACTGAATGGGGTAAGCTTTACGTTAAGCAACTAAAAAGACTGGAACGGCCAGATTGAAATCCTGTGCTAAGACAAGAAAAAATGTGCAACCGAAGTTATAATACCGTTCACAGGTGCATTTCTTTTAGCATAAAAGGGTTTAAAAAGAGCTTTGCCGTGATTTTAATCGGCTAATTTGTATGACAGCTATATGCTATAGTGCTCCGATCAGAAAAATTCATTCGTAGATTGTAGCGCTGCCTTGGACAATAATCTATAGCAAATTTGTGAAGATATCTTGACAAATAAAAAAGTTTTCCAAACAAGGATATAACTTTGATGTATCAGTTTTGTATGACAGCTATATGCTATAGTGCAGCTTCTTAGGGAGAAAAGAACGTGAGATAAATGTCAGATCTATATCTCAAAAACTAAGGAACTAGTTGTGGTATAAACAAACCGACAAAGGATATGACTAAATCGGCTCAGCTCTTCACACTTATCATTTATTTATATATTTTATAGGGTCTCCGACGTTTCCTTCTGTATATTGTAAGTAAACTATTTAACTCTAGGTGTATTATTTACTGATCTACATCCAATAAGTATGAGCGCATCACAAATAAAATCTTTATGAAAGGCACCGACTATTACAATATTATTGTTTTATTTCGTTTTTTTTTTTTTGGGAACAATCTTCATCTATTCTTGTTTTCTACTAAATATATTATTTGGAACAACCAAAACATGACGATTAAAAAATTATAGATGGGTTCTAGAACAGATCCACCTAATATATCGCTTCAGTAAAGCACTTTAGCTCTCCTATAAAATATATTCTCTCTCCACCTTTAACATTCTTCGTTTTCTCTGTGCGTCTTTAGAAAATGTTGAAATCACTTATAGGCTGCGTCATGTTGTTGTTGTTGTTGTTGTAGCGGCAAAATTCTGCCGAGTTGACAGTCCTTGTGATAAAAGTCCTAAGTGTTAAAAATTCGGGTCCGTTCCGGTTACGTAGACCCGACTGTCGTGGGAACGGCTGCGTCAACTTTTATTTCAGTT